TTGTTGATTCGCGATCCTTTTGACGAGGTGCGTGAGTTGTGATAGTGTCCGCTGTAGTCTCGGTATGGTGGCAGCTCCCGATCCATCCTTGTAGATGTGAACTCCAAGCACTCGCTGCGTCTCGACTTTTGGAATTGAGGTCCCCTTCGGTGCTACGCTAGGGTCGGGCTCGTCGTATAGAGGGGGTCTGCTTCTTGTTCTCGCTTTGAGGACGAGAAGCTCGGATTTCTCGGGGGCACAGCAGAGACCGCAGTGTCTGAGATACCGTTCAGTGGTATCTACGGTGGTTTGTAGGCAGATCTCTTGTCTTCCAGTGTTCGAAGCCCAGCGTAGATCGCGTGCCGTAAATCTGGTATTTTGTCGAGAATTTTGGGCAGATTGATCATAGCCACAAATAAAAGTAACGGCGAGATGACCGAACCCTGCGGTGTGCCTTTTTTTGGTAGTTGGAATCTTTTGCTGCAGATGTTGCATATGCCCACAGTTGCCGTATGGTCCGTATGATGCACGTGTAGGTCCTAATGCCGCAGCCAACGCTCTCGAGGTTCTTGAGGATCACGTCGTGGGTGACGTTATCGAAGGCCGCCTTGACGTTGATTCTGAGTATGGAGTACTTTCTTCGATGGGTGAGGTGATCAAGGAGGTCTTCTTTGAGTAGTAAGAGCACGTCGTGCGTCGAAAAACGCTGCCTGAAGCCGAACATGGTGCCAATTGTCAAACGCCACCCAGTTGTCAGCGTGTTGGTGAGACTGAACTGCAATCTTCCTCTGCTTAGCCGCGTCAAGACTTTCACCTAGAGATGAATGTCTTGGTTTTAGTTTTGCGCGCCATCAGAAGAGTTTCGCCACGTGCATTGAACTGTTTGTTAAGTATTTTGTTGGTTTGGGATTTTCATTTCTTTACATTTTAATTATACATTGATTAATACTTGTGTAACCAAACAGCTTTGTCCTTCTTTAAGACTATAACAGGTTCAAACATGGAGAGCTGCTACTAACAGAAAAGAACCTTCATCACAAACAGCAACTGGAAAAACTTCTTTGGAAGGTTATTACACTAAACATCCGAAATTTTACGACTTGAAAATATCATTGAAAAGATTTTATGCTCAGTAACTGGTTTCATGTGTTCATCTAAAGCACTTTATTTATGCACCTGAACAGTCTTCTATCTAGCTAACAAATTATAGAATCCATTTTAGGGAGGCTCATTTTTATACCACATAAATGCAACCAATCAGATGTTCCTAATATACATCTAACACACCTAAAATTTTCTCCTTTGGAGCCATTTCTTGTGAATAGTAAAGTGCTATGATTCACATATATAAACTAACTACCGGTAGGATATATATTTACGATGTCGCCAAGGTATATCTCCAATAATATTAGGCCAAAGGAAGAGCTCATTGTGGCAACCTGTTCAAAAATGTTGAAGGAAAGGTAAAGGGACACTAAAGAGCGAAACGATTTTTTCCGGACTTGTAAAGTACCATTTCAAAATTCCGTAAACACCATTCATACAGGGACATGAAGCTTCCTAAGCGAGAAAACGCGATAATATAACCTCCAGTTGCCGATGCCACCCAGGGATTCCCGCACCAAAATAACATCATAAGTTTTTTAGGTGTCTACTAGGTCCCACGTACCTTCTAATTGATTAAAATGAAGTGCTTTGTGAACTGTGAGTGCCGTAGACCGAGCATACAAAGTTAAAAGAAATAATCGTGCGAATGTTGCGAAATACAGAAAATTTATTTGGAAACTTTTGGCACCACGCACTAGATTTCAGCGCGAAGCTTCAAAATCAAACTTTACTTTGATTGTTTTAACTAATAATAGGCTTATGAATGGGAAACATATACCATTATAGATATTAGAGGGCAGTTTGTCAACCTAAATCATGTTATTGGTTCTCTTTAGTGCGATTTGAAAGAGGAAGGCTGCACACTGTCAATTCACACTGAATTCTTTTTGTAAAATAGCTTCCCACTAAAGTGAGCGGGTTACCCGCGTGCTCAATACACTGATTGCTCATGATGAGAATTGTCATGAGTGAGGCAGTGAAATGCCTTGCTAAAATTGATGAAGAGCAGGAAGGATGTTCGTTCTCTATGTTTTGCGCAATAATTACTTTCTGGAATGAAAGACTTGCTTACATGATCAAGATTTGGAGACATGTGCGAAGGACGCCATCTGTCGTCGGTCACAGTGGTGGCCTGCCGTAACTGAATCAAGGATAGGTGAGAAAATTGCGGTTTTGGGGCGTTAAACACCACAAATTATTCAATCAGGTGAGATAATTATATCTGAAGAATAAAGCTACTTTTCAAAACGGCTCCCGCTTTTATACAACAAAAACTTACTCGAACCATCTCGAGAAGTTACAGTGCCGCACTACAAAGCACCTAGCTTCCCACAGCGTTTGTTTTTTAGCAATGGCATCCCATGTGTTTTTAAAGTTGTAAGCCACACGCTTTGTAGTGCGATAGTGCAATTCCGCTAAAATGTACGAGCGGGTCTCTTCTACTTATAATCTGGAGTCGTTTTTGATAGCTAACATTTTCAAGTAATGTGATTTTCTCACCTGTTTTCTATTCAGTTATGACGGGCCGCCATTCATGCCGCCGAGATGATGGCGCCACGTCCATATTTCCCCGATTCCTGGATGGCAGACCACCACTCATGCCGCCGAGATGACGGCGCCACGTCCAGGTGCCCCCAAATCGTGGGACCATTTCTACACATTTTCCCATGACAAGTTTTCGTGTTTTTATGAAATTACGTGTACGCTTAATAAGGAACTTCGCTGTGTGTTGATAATTATTTTTTAAACAACCATAGAACAAATGAGTAGTATTTATGGTAGCCTGTTGTTATAATTATAATGATTATCACCGTTTTGGTATAGTGCTTATATGTTAGCTCGTTTTATGCCACCTAGTAGAGTAGCCGACTATATTGTTCAACTGAATATGTGGACCAATGAGAAATTAAATGAAAAGTGACATAAGAGGCATCTCACTGCGTTATGTTGCAGACGGACGATATCGAAGGCATTGTTGTTATTTAAATGTTAATTGTTAGGAACGCCTTTTTGTCCTTCAGGAGTTTCCATAAATATAGTTTTTATAACACAATTATCATCTAAGTTCACGACCTGGAAATTATCGTTGCGGGGAATACCCGCATTCTTAAAATAAGCATTTATGTTTTCAGCCAGTACATTACCACCACCTTGTCAATTTTGATCAGCTCCCAATAAGGGTAATTTGACGACCTAAAAGATTGTTTTTCCTTTTTAATCACATCCACACGCTTATTATTGCAGGAAACGTGCGCTGAGACGAATTTATTTTTTGTTGCTTTAGTATTTCAATCAGGATAGCTCTTTAATCTTCAATTACTCCTGTTCTCTTTCTGAATTAGAGTGAACGAACACAATTCAAAGGCAGCTCCTACTTTTGACCAATTTATAGTGATACGCATATACTACAGTATTCATACTTTTCTTTTTAGCTAGTTACAGAGAAAATGTGCCATGCAGATGTGTGCAAAAGCTTCTAGAAATTCGTAGTATGCTTAATTTTGGTTCTTTTTAACACACAATATCCACCGTGCCTGATTTCAGCTAGGATGAATAAATTCAGCCACTGAAAAGAAACGTGCTGGTAAGCAAGCAATTCAGTGTTTTGTTTGAAATTGTCATGCACAAGTGCACATTTGTGCACTGGTGCATTTCTGCACAGATATTTGTGTTCACATATTATTTTGTGCACACAGACCTTTGTATATTCGTAATGTTATAATGACGTTGACTAAAGAACACACATTGGTGTAGAGGTCTGGTTATCAAAGCCAGATGACAGCAGTAAACTGATTAATTGATACAGGGACTCATTGTTGTCTCAAATATCAAGCCGAAACTTGCCTACTACTGAAAAACAGTTTTCTTTCATTTTAAAGTATAAACAAACTACCGAACAGCTTGACTAAGGGTAAGGGCCGGTGCCGTTAGCAACGCTTAAGTTACACATTAAGTCGCCTAAAATTTTCAAGTATCGGCAAATCATTAATGGCATAGTGTTTTACCGTTTCAAAGTGCGCATGCCCCCTAGACAAAGATCGCACTTGCTTTGGTTAACTTAGCCAATGCTTAGAAGTGCTCGCCAACATCACCTCAACGCCAAGCATGCGACAGGACGTGGCCATAGGCTAGTCAGACAGTGACGTGGCGATACCACTGCAGCGCTGATAGAAGTGTGGTTGATATATAACGGGGCGTTGCCCGAAATCTGCGTGATGCGTGCGCTCCAGCGGAGGCAGGCTTTGCTCGTCATCGTTGCGGCAGCCTCTAACTTGGTTGTGTTTTTGTACAGTTCTTACTCCTATTTTATACATCAAGTTATTGATTGATATTTGGAGGTTTGACATGCCAATATACACCAAGTTATGTAGTGAACGCTAATTTAAGGCAGCATTTTCATTTCTCCTGCGTTTTTTATGTTCCTGAGAACTGGTGGACCTCGTAGTGAAAGAATCCACTTCAGCTTGTAATACTAGGGAGAAACTGCGGGAAAATTTCGTGCACAATTAGGGAACTCGAGGATGCACCCTTCTCGTGTGCTTTTTTCAGGCAGTTTGTCTTTAGCATGGATAAATTGTACCGCACCTAATGCTTTCATGTCAGCATTATTCTCGGTCCTATAATACGAAACATGTAAGGATTTCAACGAGTGAACGTTAGGCCTGTGAGGGTCTTGCTGATGTGGATAAGGTATGCTGAAGTATCATCCTTCATATATGGCTACTAACACACTCACTATTCGTGCTTCGCTGCGATTTCACAACCTGCTTTATGACGCCGACATTAGACTAATGCTTCACACTTACAGCCGACGTCTAACCAAAATTCGTAAATAGCTGCACCAGAAGTTTTACTAAATATTACTAGCAACTCCTAGCTTATATTAAATGTCGCTTTTTCCGCATTTTACTGACCTGTTTGAGTCGGTCTTCAATGTCATGTATGTCTGCGAAGATTTTCCTCAAAGCTTTGTATCCCAAATGGTTTACGACGCTGCCAGTATTGACCGTCTTGGGCTCGCTGATACGCATCATGATTAAAACAGTTTCTGAGGTTGTATAAAAAAACCCAGTCTCCAATAAACGGTCAGTACCTGTAAGGACCTTTCCACCCTAGAACTGCAAGTTTAACGTCGCAGCAAGCGTTTTAATTATTGTATCTCAACATATGTGCTGTCCTAAGGCACCGGATGTTGAGGTCACACAACCCTTGCATTGCCTTCCACACATGGCATCTGACTCTGCTGTTTCAGTAGAATCAAAACGAATGAACATAAAGGCAAAACAATTGAGCCGAGAATGCCTACACTGAGCGGTCCAGCTGTTATGAAGCACCGCTAAGCTTGTTGAAACAACACATCCGGCGGAAAGCATAAATGAATTTGAATTGCTTAGCCAAACATTGCAGCCATGCGCGCCACGTAGAGAGGACAAGTAGAGTGCCAAGCTGCTGTTTTTCCAAGTGGCTTTGGTTCAAACAGATGCAGGTTGTCACTCTTGTCGGTGGGAGGGTGGGTGTCCGTCGTTGGACGTCAGTTTCTGTCATCCGACGTCGAATTTCGCCAATAGTGCACATAAATGAAGAGAGCTGTTTTGACCAGATTCACTTGTTGCCGTTAACACTGTGTGTGTTAGTTGTAGGTAAATAAATAGCCTAATAATAGAAAAGTTTTGCCGCGAATGTTCGAAAAGATTGCTTTCTTCCGGTAGAGGACAACTGTCATCTACTGAACTAAGTGCATTAGCGTATGTTCGAGCATGCGCGCATAGAAGTTTACCTTATAGTTGCATGCCTCTAACATCTACGATATCGCTAACATGTTTTTCGGCAAAACGTGCCAGAGTGATCTTTTGATCCTGCTCGACACATAACAAACGAATTAACTACGTTTTGTTATGTTGTCGTGAGCACTGCTATGCAGAAATCTGAATATGTAAACAAGGTGATGAAAAGACAGGCCAAAGAATTGAAGTATAAAGTAAGATTACCATTCTCTGTTTCTGCAGTGGTACCGCACCGTTTTCACATTACAACGTATAGGCGACGCCGAAAATTGGCAACATACTCACGGGGTAAATGAAGGAAAGTGGAGCGAAACATCTGTCCGTCCATTCAATCTTGCTTTCCTCCGTTCCTGCGTCCGTCTGTGTGACCGTCCATGCGTTCATCCGCCCATCCGTGCGTGCGTCTGTTCGTGCGTCCGCACGTCCATCCATGCTTCCGTCCCTGCGTTCATCCATGCGTCCACCCCTGCGTCCGTCCATGCGTCCATCCGTCCGTGCAGCCATCCGTGCATCCGTTCATGCATCTGTCTGTGTGTCCGTTCGTCCATCTAGTCAACACTCCAAATACCACCATCTCCCATCTTTTCATCTTATATTCCGTATATAGAAACACCACAATCCAGCGGACATTCCAAGGACTAAACGAGAGATGGCACACGCACACTTTATTACGGCTTGCACTTCTTATTCACTTCCCACCTTTAACTGCCTCGAGTTCATGGTATATACTAGTTCACCGTATTCATGGCACAGCGGCCCAACGCTCGCTAAACCTTTCTAAAACCAAGGAGGTTACGCCCAGCGAGTATAACCTAGCAACCCTTTCTTGCCGATAGTGCTCAATGTACATGCCAATGGCTGCTGATTGGGAATGAGAGACAGGAGAATTCGGCTGTTAGTTAACGTGCACGCTGCAAATTTTTATTGTTCAACAACGCACAGGAGAAACATCCCACTGGCACCACCTTGCAGGTTAATGCGTAAGACTAGTTACGCACTACGACTGTGACGAGGGATGAACGAGTGCCGCTTTAAGGAGCTTCGCCCATAAAAAATTATGGGACCCCTAAGCTTCCAGTTGAACGCGATAGCGTTCAATTACCTATAGCAAAGAGAAACATACTTACATAAAGAGCGGACACTCCCGTCGGGCCCTGCGGCCCAGCTACTGCGCTGCTTTCAGCGCCACGAGTGGTTGGTCAGACCCAACAATCTCTACAGAATAAATAAAATAACAAAATTTTCTTCTTTCCGACAATGGGATTTTAAACCACAACCTCATGCTCCAAGAGCGAGTGTCTTTTCCACAAGGCTATACACACCCACGCTTTCGCGGCGGGAATACATGTACAGCACATCTTAACCACATGAATGTGCCTTTTTGGGCGAAAACAAATGCAGAAAGACAACACTTTCTAATCAAGCTTTCCTGTTTTCTGTTGAATGGCATTAAACAACGTCCTTAGCGGGATGATGTAGAGCAGATAAGGGAAAATTGCTTGAATTAACAAAATATCTTATTTGCAATAAATTGATGCAGACTTGAGTATTCATTGTAATCCTCCTAAGGCTAATACATCCTAATAGAGAAATAAAAGCGAGGATGGGGACACCACACAGCGGTGGGTAAGACCCTTCTTTGCTGGGCCACAAAAAGGCTCCAGTAGCCACTCTTTATATATACTATATTTATGTATGCCTATAGTGCATAGGTCAAATGCTTGGGGCATATTATTTATTATGATATTACTGGAACAGTTTAAATTGTGAATTATTGCTGTGTAATCAATAAAGTTAAAAGTGGCTAGTGTCAGTGAGGCCTTCGCGTATGGCTGCAATCTGTGTGAACCAAGATTTTTAAGCCACGAGCAATTATACACGTGAAATTCCTTGAGCTGGCTATATACCCATTACGTGGTCAGAATGCGCGTAATAGTGTATGTGCCTCTTGATGATGCTTTGCTAGAAAGCAACACACTCACGCCGAACCAGACACCGGAATTTCTGCGAGTTTAGCTGATTACTGCTCTTGCAATAAAATAAATCTGCACGTGCGAGGGCCGGCCGCAAACCGGTAAAATGGCATCACCACCCGTCTCTCGTTTAGCGGTTGGTGTCAAGATATTGCAGTGAGCCTGCGCGTCATCGCATGCCTGCAGCGGTGATATTGTATTTGCTTTCAGCGGACTAGCTGTATAAATGTAACGTTCTGCAGTACGGTTGAGTTCAATCTATCAAGGCCGGTTCACGCGGGTGGCTAGTCTGAACTGACGGCATCGTGCCGTAGACCAGCGGCCACCGCCGTCCATGGGAGAGCTGTTCTAATAGGTGACCGATAAAATAGGCAATCGCAGGGAACTGTGGGATACGACGGCTTCCGGTTCGACACACCACGTGGGGTATCAGCAGCACGCATGCACTTTTGCACCGCTTTGTTGAAGAAAGCACCTCTCCGTGCAATGTCAATGCTTTAAAAGTTGTTTTTTTTGTTTCTGCTAGCCGTGAATGCGATAATGACCAGCTACGAAAGCCATGAAGAGTAAGAAAACTTTTTATTGAACCAAAATGCTCTGCAAGGCTATTATGCCGCTCGGGGGTACTCTCAGTTTTTCTAGCAAATCAGTCGATACAAAAGACAGTTTTCATTGTATGATACGTTACTGCACATACAAAATGGCGACTTCAAAGATCTCAGGGGATGGTGATGATTCTTGCAGTATGTTAAGATTTCATTTATAGATCGCTGCGTCGGCCGAAATTGTCGGTACATCGGCATGAAGCGCACCATTTATCGACCGTGTTTAGATGTCTTTTTATAGTTCTTAGCGCGCAATAAGATGCATTTCTTTGTCGAAGCCAGATGCTTACTTCCACTTTGATCTTGGTCAAGCTGAGCGGCACGGCGGCAAATAAACACTACAGTAAGGCATAGACGGTGCCAAAACGTCAAAATCCGGCCCTTTTTAAAGCACTTCTTCCTTTGTGTGCTGCCCTGACGCACAGTTTGACCAAGATAAACGCAAACGGACTCGTCCAGTGCTTTGTGTACTTACTTTTGAATGAATTTTTCGCATTTTCTTTGTCATATATATGGGTGCAATGCCGGCCCTCACCTGATATGTCTGGCAGATTTTGCACGCGTTCGTTCCCATAATATTTTTGCTAGGCGCGCCTGCGCAACAATTTATTTCTGGATATGATATTCGCACCGATTCATGCGTGAGCTTTTTATTAGTGCGGAATACACAAGTACTTGTGATAAAATGGTCTTTGCACACTCTTGATCCAACCTTCGGTACCAAAAGGCAACTTGTCGCTGCGGCTGCGGTCAACCACACATGATGTATACTTATCTAGACAATGAACCATTGCCTGCGACAGCTCACGCAACCATCAAGTTGGAATTCGCAGCTGCTGCTCAAAAAAAATCACATGTGAAAGAGAGACTATCGTCTTTAAAAAAGCAGAGCAAACGCACGTTCATGGCGTTTGTTAAAGTTGCAATATAAATAAATCTTAAAAGCGGTGTTGTTGTTCGTGTTCTGTTTTATTAATTTTCGGGCAACGAGAATTGAACTGTTTTCGCACTTTTGTGTGTGCCTCCCTGCTAAGTTCGTGCTGCACGTAAGATGTGATCTTGGAGCGCAAGGTTTCCGCGTGTAATATTGTCTGGAGTTCAACGTTTTATGCAATAACTACGCAAGAAATTTGCTTTGTTCGCATTGTACCCATGTGTCTTCCTTCCTGAAAACACACATAAACGTTCCGCTCCAAGCACACATATTCCGTACAGCGTCAAACGAACAGGAAGGCACACTCTTAGTTGCAATAACAGTTCAATTCACGCTGTCTGAAAATAATGAATCAAAAATCAACAACACCCCACCGTGATGGTAGAGTGCCTAAGGTACTCGGCTGCTGACCCACAGGTCGCGGTATCGAAACCCGGCTGCAGCCGATGTATTTTCGATGGAGGCGAAAATACTGTAGGCCCATGTGCTCAGAATTGGGTACACGCTAAAGAACTCATGGTGGTCAAAATTTCTGGAGTCCTCCATGACGGCGTCTCCTCTAATCATAAGGCTGTTTGGGGACGCTGAATTCCACATTTAAATCAATCGATAAGACATGAAACACACCACGGCATTTCAGAATTCTTTATTGTGCAATTTTTACAAATACCATGAACGTGTGCCGTGGTTTGTTCTACTTGTCATACATGTCATTTCTTTTGAGCAGCAGCTGCGAATTCAAACTCGAAAGGTGCGTAAGCTGTCGCACGCAATGGTTCATTCTCAAAATAAGTATAAAATGATGAATGCCATTGTCACACGCAATAAA